TCAATCCCAAGGAGAATGAGCCAAAGCAGGGTAGGGTGTCACCTTCCTCGGAAAGAACAAAGGGCTAGGGAACTCCCCTTTCCTAGCCAAGGGAAGCTGGACTGTCCGCTGCAATCCAGCCCACATACTGAGCTTTTTCCAGTCTTCACAACTTGCAGACTAAAAGATACCTTCTGGTGGTTACAACACCAGGGCCCTGGGTTTCCAGTCTCCCTCTGTTTTCCTTTTAGGTTTGTTTACATTTCTGGCCTTGTGAGCAGGACTCAGAGTAACTTCCCCAACCACCCAGTGTTTCTCTCTGAAAGTGATGCTTAGTATCAGCATAAATTCATTGCATTCTCTCCATCTTCAGACTACAGTGCTTCAGGTGAATGCTCCTGAACTTAGACTTCCCACTCTTTGATTGAAGGTCTAGACTTTATTAGAAGTGTTTTCCAGCAATTTTTTTTCCCTCAAGAGTGAAACTTCAGTGTTTGTAATTTGGACAAAAAATTTGGGTAAAGAGATCTGAAAAGAACTTCCTTTTCCTCCCTCTGTCTCAAGCAGGAGGCTGAGTTCAAAAAATTGGTACTTAGGCACTGGCAGTTTTGTTTCACATAACATGCTTTTAAAATTGAAGCTGTGCTGTTTCCTATTGCTTATAAATTAGGCTTAGTTTTCTAATTTGTGACTAATGCCTTTTAGTTTCTTTTTTTATTGTGTTGCTTTATTTCTTCTTTTTTATTATTATACTTTAAGTTCTGGGGTACATGGTCAGATCTTGTAGGATTGTTGCATAGGTATACACATGCCACGGTGGTTTGCTGCCTCCATCTCCCCATCACCTACATTTGGTATTTCTCCTAATGTTATTCCTCCCCAATCTCCCCACCCCCTAATATCCGTCCCCTAGTCCCCCACCCCCAACAGACCCCAGGGTGTGATGTTCCCTCCCTGTGTCCATATGTTCTCATTTTTCACACCCACTTATGAGTAAGAACATGCACTGTTTGGTTTTATGTTATTTTGTCAGTTTGCTGAGAATGATGGTGTCTGGATTCATCCATGTCACTGCAAAGGATATAAACTCATCCTTTTTAATGGCTGTGTAGTATTCTATGGTGTATACATGCCACATTTTCATTATCCAGTTTATCGTTGATGAGCACTTGGGTTGGTTCCAAAGCTTTGCTATTGTAAACAGTGCTGCAATGAACATACATGTGCATGTGTCTTTATGATAGAACAATTTATAATCCTTTGGGTATATACTGAATAATGGGATTGCTGGATCAAATGGTATTTCTATTTCTAGGTCCTAGAGAAATCACCACACTGTCTTTCACAATGGTTGAATTAATTTACACTCCCACCAACAGTGTAAAAGCATTCCTATTTCTCCACATCCTCTCCAGCATCTATTGTCTACATATTTTTTAATGATTGCCATTCTAACTGGTGTGAGATGGTATCTCAATGTAGTTTTGATTTGCATTTCTCTAATGACTGGTGATGATAAGTCTGTTTTCATGTTTGTTAGGTGCATTAATGCCTTCTTTTGAAGTTTTTTTAATATTCTTTGCCCATTTTTTATGGGGTTGTTTGTTTTTTATTGTAAATTTGTTTTAGTCCTTTGTAGATTCTGGATATTAGTCCTTTGTCAGATGGGTAGCTTGCAATAGTTTTTCCCATTTTGTTGACTGCTGGTTCACCATAATGATTGTTTCTTTTGCTGTGAAGAAGCTCTTAAGTTTAATTAGATCCCATTTGTCTATTTTGGCTATTGTTGCCATTACTTTTGGTGTTTTCATCATGAAGTCCTTGCCTATGGCTATGTCCTGAATGGTTTTGCCTAGGTTTCTTCTAGGGTTTTATAGTGTTAGGTCTCATGTTTAAATCATTAATCCATCTTAAGTTAATTTTTGTGTATGGTATAAAGAAGGGGTCTAGTTTCAGCTTTTTGCATATATCTAGCCTGTCTTCCCAACCCATTTATTAAACAGGGAATCCTTTTCCCATCACTTGTTTAGGTCAGGTTTGTCAAAGATCAGATGGCTGTTGATGTGTGGCATTACTTCCAAGGATGCTGTACTGTTCCATTGGTCTATATCTCTGTTTTGGTACCAGTACCATGCTGTTTTGATTACTGTAGCCTTGTAGTATAGTTTGAAGTCAGGTAGTTTGATGCCTCCAGCTTTGTTCTTTTTGTTTAGGATTGTTATGGCTATGCAGGCTCTTTTTTGGTTCCATATGAAGTTTAGGGTTGTTTTTTCCAGGTCTGTGAAGAAGGTCAATGTTAGCTTGATGGGGATAGCATTGAAGACATAAATTACTTTGGGCAGTATGGCCATTTTCACCATATTGATTCTTCCTAATCATCAGCATGGAATGTTTCTCCATCTGTTTTTGTCCTCTCTTATTTCTGTGAGCAGTGGTTTATAGTTCTCCTTGAAGAGGTCCTTCGCGTCCCTTGTTAGTTGTATTCCTAGATATTTTATTCTCTTTATAGCAATTATGAATGGGAGTTTGCTCATGATATGGCTCTCTGTTTGTCTGTTATTGGTGTATAGGTATCATTGTGATTTTTGCACATTGAATTTGTATCCTGAGACTTTGCTGAAGTTGCTTATCAACTTAAGAAGATTTTGAGCTGAGAGAATGGGGGTCTTCAAAATATACACTTAGGTCTCTGCAAATAGAGACAATTTGACTTCCTTTTTTCCTAATTGAATACTCTTCATTTTATCTTCTTGTCTGATTGCTCTAGCTAGAACTTCCAATACTATGTTGAATAGGAATGGTGATAGAGGGCACCCTTGTCTAGTGCCAGTTTTCAAGGGGAATGCCTCCAGCTTTTGCCCATTCAGTATGATATTGCTGTGAATTTGTCATAAATAGCTTTTTATTATTTTGAAATACATTCCACCAATACCTAGTTTATCAAGAGTTTTTAGCATAAAGTGATGTTGAATTTTGTTGAAGGCCTTCTCTGCATCTATTGAAATAATCATGTGGTTTTGCCCTTGATTCTGTTTATGTGATGGATTGCATTTACAGATTTACATATCTTGAACCAGACTTGCATCCTTGGGATGAAGCCTACTTGATTGTGATGGATAAACTTTTTAATGTGGTGTTGCGTTGGGTTTGCCAGTATTTTATTGAAGATTTTTGCATTGATGTTCATCATGGATATTGGCCTGAAATTTTCCATTTTAGTTGTGTCTCTGCCAGGGTAGGTATCAGGATAATGTTGGTCTCATAAAATGAGTTAGGGAGGATTCCCTCTTCTTGTATTGTTTGGAATAGTTTCTGAAGGAATGGTACCAGCTCCTCTTTGTACATCTGGTAGAATTCAGCTGTAAACCCATCTGGACCTGGACTTTTTTGTTGGTAGGCTATTAATTGCTGCCTCAATTTCAGATGTCTTCATTGGCCTATTCAAGGATTCAAGTTCTTCTTGGTTTAGTCTTGGGATGGTGTAAGTGTCCGGGAATTTATCAATTTCCTCTTGATTTACTGGTTTATGTGCATAGAGGCATTAGTACTAATTTCTGATGGTAGTTTGTATTTCTGTGGAATTGGTGGTGACATCCCCTTTATCATTTGTTTATTACATCTATTCAATTTTTCTGTCTTTTCTGTTTTATTAGTCTGGCTAGTGGTTTATCTATTTAGTTGATCTTTCAAAAAAAACAAGCTCCTAGATTTATTGATTTTTTGAAGGATTTCTGTGTCTCTATATCTGTCAGTTCTGCTCTAATATTAGGTATTATATTGTCTTTTGCTAGCTTTTGAATTTGTTTGATCTTGCTCCTCTAGTTCTTTTAATTGTGCCAATAGGGTGTTGATATTAAATCTTTCTTTACTCCTCATGTGGGGATTTAGTGCTATAAATTTCCCTCTAGACATTGCTTTAAATGTTTCCCAGCGATTCTGATACATTTTGTCTTCATTCTCATTGGTTTTGAAGAACATTTTTATTTCTGCCTTCATTTCATTATTTATCCAGTAGTCATTCAGTAGCAGGTTGTTTAGTTTCCATGTACTTGTACAGTTTTAAGTGAGTTTCTTAATTCTGAGTTCTAATTTGATTTCACAGTGGTCTGAGAACCTGTTTGTTATGATTTTCTTTCTTTTGCATTTGCTGAGGAATGACATACTTCCAATTATGTAGTCAATTTTAGTGTAAACGTGATGTGGTACTGAGAAGAATATATATTCTGTGGATTTGGGGTGGAGAGTTCTGTAGATGGCTATTAAGTCCACCTGGTCCAGATCTGAATTCAAGTCCTGTTTATCCCTGTTAATTTTCTGCTTCATTGATCTAATACTGACAATGGAGTGTTGAAGTCTCCCACTATTATTGTGTGGGAGTCTATGTCTTTTTGTAGGTTATTAAGAACTTGCTTTATGTATCTGAGTGTCCTGTATTGGGTGGATTTGTATTTAGGATAGTTAGCTCTTCTAGTGCATTGATCATTTTACCATTATGTAATACCCCCCCCTTTTTGTCTCTTTTGATTTTTGTTGGTTTAAAGTCCATTTAATCAGAGATTAGGATTGCTACCCCTGCTTTTTTTGCTCTCCATTTGCTTGGTAAATCTTTCTCCATCCCTTTATTTTCAGTCTATATGTGTCTGCACGTGAGATGGGTTTCCTGAATACAGCACACAGATGGGTCTTGATTTTTTTTATCCAATTTGCCAGTCTGTGTCTTTTGATTGGGGCATTTAGGCCATTTATATTTAAGGTAAATATATTTATGTGTGAATTTGATCCTGCTATTTTGATACTAGCTGCTTGTTTTGCCCGTTAGACATAGTTTCTTCATTGGGTTGATGGTCTTTACCATTTTGTATGTTTTTGCACTGGCTGGTACTTGTTGTTCCTTTCCATGTTTAGTGCTTCCTTCAGGAGCTCTTGTAAGATTGGCATGGAGGTGATGAAATCTCTCGGCACTTGCTTGTCCATAAAGGATTTTATTTCTTCTTCACTTATGAAGCTTAGTTTGGCAGCATATGAAACTATGAGTTGAAAGTTCTTTTCTATAAGAATATTGAATATTGCACCCCCACTCTCTTCTGGCTTTAAAGTTTCTGCTGAGAGATCCACTGTGAGTCTGACGGGCTTCTCTTTCTGGGTAACTCGACCTTTCTTTCTGGCTGCCCTTAGCAATTTTTCCTTCATTTCAACCCTGGTGAATCTGATCATTATGTGCTTTGGGGTTGCTCTTCCTGTGTAATATCTTTGTGGTACTCTCTGTATTTCCCAGATTTCGATATTGTCCTGCCTTGCTAGGTTGGGAAAGTTCTCCTGGATAATATCCTGAAGAGTGTTTTTCAGCCCAGATTCATTCTCCCCATTCAGGTACACTGATCAAACATAGATTTGGTCTTGTCACATAATCCCATATTTGTTGGTGGTTTTTGTTCATGCTTTCTTCTCTAATCTTGCCTTCTTTTTTATTTCACTGAGTTGATCTTCGATTTCTGATATCCTTTCTTTTGCTTGACGGATTTGGCTATTGACACTTGTGTATGCTTTGTGAAGTTCCCATGCTGTGTTTTTCAGCTCCATCAAGTCATTCTTAATTTTCTCTAAGCTGGTTATTCTAGTAAGCATTTTGTCTAACCCCTTTTCAAGGTTCTTATTTTCTTTGAATTGGGTTAGAGCATGCTCCTTTAGCTCAGAGAAGGTTGTTATTACCCACCCTCTGAAGCCCGCTTCTGTGGATTCATCAAATTCAGTATCCATCCAGTTTTGTTCCCTTACTGGTCAGGACTTGAAATCCCTTGGAAGAAGAGAGGCGTTCTGGTTTCTGGTAATTTTATTATTATTATTATTATTTTGTGCTGGTTTCTTCCCATCTACATGGATTTATCTACCTTTGGTCTTGTAAGTTGATGACTTTTGAATAGTTGTCTGAGTGGTCATCCTTTCTCTTGACGTTGAAACTATTTCTTTGTTTTATACTTTTTCTTCTAACAGTTGGGTACCTCTGCTGCAGGACTGCTGGTGGTCTGCTCCAGACACAGCTTGCCTGGGAGTCACCCATGGAGGCTGAAGAACCACAAGAATTGCTGCCTGTACCTTTCTTTGGAAACTTCATCCCAGGAGGGTACCTTCCCAATGTCAGACAGTGCTCTCTTGTATGACATGACTCTTTGGATATACGGGGGGTCAGGGAGCTAATTGAGGAGGGAGTCTGTCCCTTATTAGAGCTCAAGTGTTGTGCTGGGAGCTCCTTTGCTCCCTTCAGAGCTGCTGGTCTGGGATGTTTAAGTCTGCTGCAGTGGAACACACAACTGCTTTTTTTCCCAATTGCTCTGTCCAGGGTAGGTGGGGCTTTATTTATAAGTTCCTGATGTGTTGCTTCATTTTTTCAGAGATGCCCTGCCCAGCAAGGAGGAAGCCTAGTCACAGTCTTTCTACTGAGGCATTGCTGAATTGCTGCAGGCTCCGCCTAGCTGCTGTGTAAACTTCCTTGTGCTTTCATTTACACAGGTAAGGTTAGAAGTGCCTTGGTAATGGTGGACTGTCTTGGTAATGGCAGCCTGCGTCACTAATGGCAGGCTGCCTCAGTAATTTTGGACTGCCTCAATAATGGTGGATGCCCTTCCCCTCACTGAGCTTGACTGTCCTAGGTTGAGCTCGAACTGCTGTGCTTGCTGCAAAAATCCTAAGCCAGTGGGATTCAGTTTGCTGTTCTCTGTGGGGGTGGGATGTGCTGAGCCAGATAACCTGGCTCTCCACCTTCAGCCCCCTTTCCTCAGGGATTTAGGTGGCTCTGTCTTGCAGGTGCTCCTGGTGCCAGCCAAAATGACCACTCAGATTTGTGCTGGAAACCCGCGGTGCCTGTCAGCCTGATGAGAATCTCCTGGTCTCTGGGCTGCAAAGATTGTGGGAGAAGTGCAGCATCTGAACCAGAGCACTGGAGTGGCCAAAGTCCCCAGTGGCCTCCATTGGGTAGGATGGGGGACCCTCTGGCCTGTTGCACTTCCTAGGTGAGGCAGCACCCCACCCTCCCTAGGTTTGCCCTTCTTGGGCTACACTTACTGTCCAACCAGTCCCACTGAGAAAAACCTGGTACTGGAAATGCAGAGATCACTCGACTTCTGCTTTTCTTTCATTGGGAACTGCACTCCAGAGCTGCTCCTATTCATCCATCTTCGTGGAAATTTCTAATTCCTGTTAGTTTCTAATTGAAATGTGCCTGAGAGTGAGTTCTCTTTCTCCAACAAAAAAGAAGTTATTTGCTTACTCTGACCCATTTGAGTGCTCCAAGTAACTGGCCACTTTGCAGATGTGTCAGAGTCATTATGCATAATGATGTGACACAGTCTCATAGGGACCTTGCCACCAGAAGAATACTTCTGAGGGACTACTTTGCTGTTCCTCCAGAAGGGAATTAGAAACTGATCCCTTCCCCATAATATGAGCACTCTGCTCTTCCTTGGCGTTTAGAGGCAGTCCAAGACACATATGCAAGTGATTTATGATGCTCAGGTAAAATCTAGAGGAGTGACACTCACAAGCAGCACATTTTTTTACCCATGCATATTCCTGGCTTTGGCCACTTTTAAAAAGGACCTAGATTATTAAAAAATCAAGCTTTAAAATTTGAGCAGTATTTTACAGAAAAACCACAATTAGAAACACCAGCTAGATTTATGTATGACACTTATGGGACAACTCCTTGTAAATATCTAGAAGAGTGGACTCACCTAACGCAGAATTGTCATAAGCAACAATGACCAAAATTATTGCTGTTAAGAACAAATAGTTCCTTTTTGAAAGATTTGGGTTTCTGATTCTTTATTCTATTCTAAATGTAATCTTACCAATTAATCTATCAGCTTTCCCTATCTTTGCCGTGACTAAACACATCCAAGAATTTCCAATCACCTATGTACCTGTCTTTCCCATCAAAAGACCACCCTTGCCTCCTTTGATAGTGTGAACAATATCCAATCAGAATTAGCCTAGATCATGCAGTTTGACGCCAGCCCACAATGGGAGGACACAGAAACAGGGTCTGTATTAAAGATAAAAACTGCTGCTCTTTTTTCTTCTAGGTGCTCTCCCTTGCCTTTGTCTTGCATGCACGAGGTGCCCTTCTATAGAAGTAAATTGCCTTGCTGAGAAAACTTTTGCCTGAGTGTTAGTTCCACTTTGCAGCACTAAGCATTTTACTTTTAGCAATCTTGGGGTCTCATCCAGGATTTCCATTCTCCTCTGGGAAAGGGGCCTCTTGTGTTCTCCCAGGGGGAGATGTGTCTCATTTCCTCTTTTTAGTTGCCTCAGGGGCTAAAGATCAAGACCCCATCCACTGTGATAAATAAACCTGGACTCTCAGCAATGGAGGAAGGAAAGCCTTGCCTACAAAACCACCACAGCAACCAGGTAACTCTGTGCACAGATCAGAGTAAGAAAAGCGTATGGGAAGCTAAGTTTCTTTGGTAGTGGGGATATCTTGGAGGTGGAAAGTGTGTGAATAGTATCAAGCATTACTCTTGTGCAGAGTGAGTGAGTCCAATCTGAGGTTCCATGGTCACCTCATATAGCTAATTGCAGCCATCTTGTAGGGATTTTGATGTTAGGATTTATACAGTCCCACCAATGCTAAAAGAAACAATTTTCATTTGGGGAAGTAGCCAGAGTAGATGAAGTGAAAGAAGGGTGCAAAAAACCTCCAGCAGGTGGGGCTAAAAGATAGACCAGAAATATCTGGTACAAAAAGATTGAGTCTTAGCAAGTCCTCCAGTGGAAAGAGAGGCAAGAGTCCTCTAGTAAAGAGGGTGAGTCACACACACACAGACACACACACACACACATACACACACACTCAAGAGACCATCTAAAACCTCCAGGATAGAAAACACCACAAATAAAACAGAAAAAGGTAAGGACAGGGATAGTCAGATTCCCTCTGATAGTTCTTTAAGTTTCACATTGAAATCTTGGAAAGATAATAAACAGACAAAACACACACAAAAAAGCAACAAATGATAAAATATTGCTGCTCCATTTGGACTCAAGAACCAATGCTCAAACACTGAGTTTATTAGCCAAAATTTAGGTCCAATGAGGAATGGATTTTTGAACTTTCAGTAGAAATGTTGTTAGTAAAAGACCTACCCCCCAAGAGGAAATAGATTAAGTCCTATGTTGGTGGCAAGGACATGTTTTTTAACTTCCAAAGGTTGAAAGGAGCAAGTCAAAAACCAATCTTTGGAAGAAATTTAGTTGTAGGCATGCTCCATCAATTTAGGACCATCTTAAACCAAAAAGGTGGAAAGGTCGTTTATTGACTCAAGGATATAAAGTACAAGGCTATTCTGTTAAACAGAGATTATTTAATGTTAGCCACTAAACCTAACCTAGCAGATTTCTTAACAGGGAGTCTAAACCTAAAAAGAGAATACATATGTTTAGATTTAATTGCCTATCACACAAAGGTTAGGACCAATCAAGATAGTCCCCTTCAAATCAAGGCGGCACTCTCTTATAGATAGTTCCAAGAGATTGAGGGAAGAAGACACAACAGGAATTCAGTAATCGATAGAAAAATTTTTAAAGAAATAGAGTCAAACAATTGTCTAATGATTAGTCTACCCAAACTTGTGAGCTGTTTGCACTGAGTCAAGCCATAACATACCTGCAAAACCAGGAAGAAACCATCTATACTGATTCTAAGTATGCCTCTGAAGTATCTCGTACATTTAGAAAAATTTTAAACTGAATGAGGTCTTCTTAATAGTAAAATTCAAAATCTGTTCGCAAAGAGTTAATCATCCAATTATTAAATAACTTTCAGTTGCCAAAAGAAATACCTATTGTCCATATCCTCAGACACCAGAAACGCCTGGAATTAAGAGTCAGGAAATAACTTAGCAGATCAGGTAAGCCAAGTAGGCTGCTGTTTCTTTTCAAATGCCATTTTCCATTTGACTGCTTACCTCCCCCCACCGTGATACCCATTTTCTCTTCTACTGAGAAAGAAAAGCTAAGAGAAATAGGTACTAAAGAGAACTCATAAGGAAAATAGATATTGCCAGAACAAAAAGAAATATTGTCTAAACCCCTTATTAAAAAAAAATTCTGTCCCGTCTGCATCAGAAGACCCATTAATGACACCAAACCACATATGACACAGTTCTCAGAGTTGATACATGTATAAGAATTTATACCTAGCCAAACAAGTTACAGATAGTTGCTTACTGATAAACAAACTACAAAAATGTTTGCCCCTTAAAGGAAGCAGTTCAGGCTTAAGACCATTTCAAAGTACCCAGAGATGCCTACAATAAGTCATCTAAAATACTTATTAATGATAGTAAATTATCTCACTAGGTCAAAGCTATTTCCTTTTAAAATGCAACAGTCAATAATATAGTTAAAGCATTAATTTAAAATATTGTGCTCAAGTTTAAGCTAATAGAAAATATTAACTCAAGAATATCGATCCCAAGCCATAGAAATTAAATAATAATATCATACTCCTTGGCACCCACCTTTATGAGTAATGATAAAAATAAATCAGACCTTAAAGAACCACTTAACTAAATTAGTTCTAGAGATTTAGTTATGCCCTCCTATTGCCCTGTAAAAAATAGCCTTTCCCTCTAGAATTATGTATTTAGTCTGTCCTCTACTTTCTCTTTTTCCTAAAACCAAAAGTCTCCTAACATAAGCACTAACCCTGAAGCATTGGCCTAAGAATCACATCCTAATCAAAAGCTAAAAGAAAGAAGAACTTGAACCAACCTAGCAAAGACCTTATCTAGTGCTTCAAATTACTAAAACTGCAGTCCAGACAGCAGAAAAAAGATAGACCCATTACACCGGAATCAAGAAAACACCATCACTTCTGGAGTCATAGGCCATTATCCAAGGAGAAAACACCCTCAAACAAAAGCTAAGGAAAGCTTAATTCTCTGTTAAGTATTCTAATACTCTTTCTTCTTTTCTCATTCTATTGCTGACCATCTTGTTATCAATGTAACTATGTCAGACTCACCCCAAATCATTACCTTTGATATTGGTCTTGTTATACCTTGTGAAGATGAGCAATGGCAAAGACAAATCCCTATTTTAGAAAAATACCTTTGTCTGAAGCCACTGACTCTGCATCTTGTTCATAGCAGAGGTACCAGGACATTCCAAGTTAGGAGATATGCTCTCAATAGGCAAATATTATCTAGACTGCTAGAGATATAGATAGACCTCCCCAGAGGGCTGTACCAATCTAAAATCTCACCTCCACTTCACCAAAAGGACCACCCCCTGTAATTGTCAATCTCACCATTGTAACCCAATAGCTATCTCTATTAATACCCTTACCTCCACCAACCCTACGTCCTCTTTATAGCACTTTTACAGCTTAGGAGTAGAGGCAAATAGTTATGACCCCATAGGCTTCTTCAAAATGTGCTTAATTGATCCCCTCTTCTTTCTTCATCTAAACCTTCTACCCTTCCCAACAATGATGCTGAAGTAAATATTGTAGCAGTAGATGATTTAAGGCAAACTATAGCAATTGAAACAAGATATCAAGATACAAATGCCTAGTTGAAATAGATCAAATATTTTATCCACACATTAAACAAAAGCAATTGTTATGCTTGTGTGCATGGCCAGCCAGAGGCCTGAACTGTCTTCTTTCCACTCAGATAGTCCTCCAATTGACTAGGCATGGGCTGCATAGTAGCTCTCTTCCAGGACTCTATAGCTTAAGGCAATAAATCATGCTAAGCTCTCTGTCTGCTCTATCCCAAAGTCCAACACCACGTAAGTGAGCCCGAAAATGCCATCCAGCTTCCATCTCCCAAGGTCAATTTCACCTCTTGTCTCTCACAACAAAGGGAAAACTTGGCATTCCTTAGAAGCTTAACAGGATTCAGTGACTTAGGCCTTTCCAGGAGCTTACCCGTCAGTTCACCCTTAGCCATCCTTGAGCAGCTGTATAGTAGTATTGTGGCCAACCCTTACTAGATACTCTGCCAAGTAATTGAAGTGACACTTGCGCTCTTATCTGATTAGCTATCCATTTTACCCTGGCATTTCATCAACCAGAGAAAGAAAAATCACCACTCTGTAAAGCAAGAGAAGCCCCTTATAAATCTTTTGACTCCCAAGTCTTTTTAGACACAATTAGTCTCACAAGAAGTACCTGATAAATTCAAAACCCGAGATCAAACAGCTGCAAGGTTTAAGTCATTCTTTCCATGAGTAACTATTAATAAAGATGTAGACTAGATCAATTACATCTATTATGATCAGCAGCAGTTTATTAATTACACCAAAGATGCTGTCAAAAGAATAGCTGACCAATTAAGGCCTACTAGCCAGATGACTTAAGAAAACAGAATGCCCCTAGACATGATATTAGCCAAAAAAGGTGGGGTTTGTGCTATGATTAAAACTCAATGTTGTCCTCTCATCCCAAACAATACTGCCCCCAATGAGAGCAAAACAAAGGTTTTACAAGGACTTACCTCTTTATCCAATGAGCTAACTAGAAATTCTAGAGTCAATAACTCCCTTACAAAACATAGTTCAGTAAACAGAAAATAATCATGGGCTTAATTCTTACTTGTGCAGTAATAAGGGTACTCATTCTTGTTAGATGCTGCATCATACCCTGAATTTGTAGACTAGTTCAAAGACTTATAGAAACAGCTGTTACCAAAACCTTCCCCAGTTTCCTCCAGTCTTATACTAATAGGTTCTTTCTCCTAGAAGAACAACAAAGCTGAGTCATGTTAATATGTTTGAAGAAGTAAATGCATAAATTCAAGAGGGGGAGATGGTTGTTAAGAACAAATAGTTCCTCTTCAAAAGGTTTAAGTTTCTGGTTCTTTGTTCTATTCTAAAAGGTAATCTTACCTATTCATCTATCAGGCCTCCTTATCTCTGCTATCACCAAACATGTCCAAGAATTTCCCATCACCTATGTACCTGTCCTTCCAGTCAAAAGCCCATCTTTGCATCCTTTGATGATATCAACAATAGTCAATCAGAATTAGCTTAGATTGTGTGGTCTAATCCCAGCTGGTAGAGGGAGGACATAGAAACAGGATCTGTGTTAAAGGTAAAACTTCTGCTTTCCTTTGTTCTAGGTGCACTCCCTTGCCTCTGCCTTGCATGCAGGAAGCCCTCTTCTATAGAAGTAAATTGCCTTTCTGAGGAAACTTTTGCCTGAATGTTAGTTCCACTTTGCAATATCAAGCATTTTACTTCTAACATTATGATCTTTTGAAATGACTATTTATTTACTTGCACAACTGGAGAAAAAGATAGTTTGAATAGGAGTTACTTCTAATGGCACTTAAAAACTTCTAAAAGAAATCTTGAGAGAAGAAATTACATTCAAGAGGTAAGTAAAACATTGTTTGAAAATATTTAAAAATATTTTACAGACTTTTTTTTGTTGCCTCCAACTGCTCCTTCTTCTTCTGTCTTTGTGATCTGAACTCATTCCTTTCTGCTTGCTCCTTTGGCTCCCTTATATATCTTAGGCATATTCTGTTTTCCTTTTGGAATTCCACAATGCACACATTTTCTTCTTTTAGGGAAAAAACATTCGGCAAACTATCTTTTTTCAAATTGTGCTGAGGTGGGAGAATTGCTTGGACCTGGGAGGCAGAGGTTGCAGTGAGCACAGATCACACCACTGCAGTCCAGCCTGAACAGCAGAGTAAAACTGTCTCAAAAATAAATAAATATATAAAATAAAAATGAGATGAGGTCTCATTCTGTTGCTCACTAAGCCAACAGAAGCATTAAGCAGGAAACTGGATCATGCAAACGTGCCTCCCTAGATAAGATGCATGCAAAGATGAAAAGCTACATAACTCCTTCACATTTTGCCCACAGAAGACTTCTTGTGAGTCCCAATATCTTTAACCTAAAGCATTTCTGTTAAAGTTTGCCATGGCAATGTAAATCGATAGCTTATCTTCACAGGTATGGAGGACATAGGACAGAACTAAAAGTCATCTATCTACACACCTAACACAAACACATATCTGATTGTTTTCTCTTTTCTATTGTCAATGTTATCATATGTAGAAAGGCAGATTCACTGAGCCAGACAAATATATCAATAACTATTTTTTCCTCCATTGCCACAAAAAATGTGTATTTCTCAATATTCCACCTTTTTCCCTTTAAATTTGAAGCTCTCATAATCATCTTGGGAGAAAGTCAGACACATGTGTTCCAGGTTCCTCAACTTTGGAAAATAAGCCTTCTAAAATGATGGAGGTTTGCCTCGGTCATTTTCTTTGATTGACATCTGGTAACCACTGAGGAATACTGAGTGAAAGTGGCCAAGTCCTGCAGCAGCTCTCCTCTTAGGCAGGAGAATAGGGTCTGGAGAACAGGGAAACTAAGGACTTCCTAGAAGTAAATCAAATGTAAAAACCCCAACTTTCTAAGACCAAGTAAGTAACTTTGTAGCTCTACTTTAGCTATCACAGAAAACATCTGCGTTATTTGCATAGGATGTACACCAGGTAAATAACTTTATAACCTCACTTTATCCTCTTAATTTGCATAGGATGTACACGAAGTAAATAACGTTGAAACTTCACTGCAGCCTCTTCATTTATGTAGGGTGTACACCAAGTAACCAATGGGAAACCTCTAGATGATATTTAAATCCCAGAAAATTTTGTAATTGGGCCCTTGAGCTGCTTGCTTGGGTCACTCTCACCCTATAAACTGTTCTTTTGTTTTCAATAAATTTCTGCTTTTGTTTCTTTATTCTTTCTTAGCTTTGTTTGTGCACTTTGTCTAATTCTTTGTTCAAAACACCACAAACCTGGATACCCTTTACCAGTAACATATTTTGGTGAGCCAGACAGGCACTAAGCTCAAAATTTGAGTTTCATTTTTCTCCTGTTTCTTTCTCCTCCATACAAGGGAATCTTTGTCTCTCTTTTTCTTTTCAATTTAGGACCCTTGGTTGGCAGCATCTAAACACGAAGGTAGCTGCAGGTTTCTGGCCAGGGCCAGTCTCTAGTGTTGCCTGAAGGCCAAAGAGTGAATGGAGATAGTTGTCCTGGTCAGAAAGGGGAAGGACTCTTTTCTGTCATTTATGTTTGTGCTTCCTGATTTCTATGTGTGGCAGAGCTCCTCAGGGTGAATTTATATGCCTTTATGGTCATTTAAACTTTTGTTTTTTTAAGCTAAATTTTTCCTTCCCCTACTTGACTGGCTAAGAAAGAAAGGAAACTCACTCAGCCTCCAGTTACTATCATTACAGTTCATGGCTGTCACTGAAGTGAATAATATTAATATTGACTACCAAGAAAATACTTTCGCCAGATTTTCAAATTAAGTCAACTGATACTGAAATTACTTAGGTATATAATTTGAATGAACTCCATGATCTAAGTCAAATTATTAAAATTACTTGTGCTAACCTGTTACTTATCAGTGTTCTGCACCTAAATTGGAGAAAAGACTAGTGTTTAAGAGGACATAAGTCCAATGTTAAGCATGGACTCATGGAAAATCAGGATAGTCTCCTTGTCTTTTCTGGGTCTTAAAATTTAACTCATCATGGAAAATATAAAATGATCTAAATTAAACATATTTTGATGTGCTTACTTATGTACTGTTAAAATATTTTATAGTCAATGTTTAGCTTGTCAAATTTATATCTCTGTGTAGCCAATCAAAGCTTTGGGTGCATTTGGCTACCTGATGGGCTAACTAAACCATTTCAATTTTCATTTTCCCTGTATGTTTTCTTCTTGTATAAAAGCTTTCTTATACAAGAGCTTTTATATACAAGTGAGAACTGACCTAAAAGGGAGAATTTTTTAAACAAAGTTATGGGAGGACATTGTATTTAACTGAGCTCATGTGCTAGGCTCCAACAGAACAAAACCAAACTGAAATAAAGTCAGTCATGCTAAGACATTAAAGAAATACATAGATCCTAGAAAGGACCAGGATTTGTTTTTCTCCTGCAAATCTCTATAGCAAACATTCCTGACAGCATAAGTATTCCCCCCCGAGGTTTTCCTTAAATATTTTAACCAAAATTATTTCCTCTCACTTAAAGATCATCAAGCTTCAGATGATCATGTGACAAGGGTTACAGATAATTCTAAGTGAAGACATTACCCATGGTTATCAAGAAGCTACCCTGTCTTCACAAGACAAAGCAGGACAAGTGTTCCATAATCCTCAATAATTAAAGACTATGCTCCAAGCCAGTATGGAGCAGATGCAGAAAAAGGAACATCAGTCCCTCTACCTCCCATGAAGATTTATGGGCATCATGTTTTTCTACGGGAAGATGAGGCAGGAGAATAGGGTCTCAAAGCAGGGAACCTAGGGATTTTCTAACTAAATCAAACACAAAACCTCCAACTTTCTAAGACCAAGTAAATAACTTTGTAACTCTACTTCAATTATAAAAGGAAACATCCTCTTCATTTGCACAGAATGTGAACCACATAAATAGCTTTGTAATCTTACTTCATTCTGGTCATCTGCATAGGGTGTACACAAAGCAAATAACCTTATAACTTCTCTTCAGCCTCTTCATTTACATAAGGAGTACACCAAGTAAACAGTGGGAAATCACTAGAGGATATTTAAGGCCCCCAAAATTTCATGACCGGACCTTTGTGCCACTTGTTCAGGCTCACTCTCACTCTGTGGAGTGTGCTTCCATTTTCAATAAATCTCTACATTTTTTGCCTCATTTTTTTGTTTGTTTGTGTGTTTTGTTTAATTCTTTGTTCAAAAGACCAAGAAGTTGAACACCCTCAATCAGTAACACTATTGGTTATTGGTAATGGCTTTGGGCTCTGTATAGCTCAACCTAATAAAAATAATTTGCTGTAGTCTGGGACCTCGTTTCTCCAAAGATTCCTGAACTTTCAAATATTTTTGGTTGGGGGACTGAGGTTTAATTTGCTGCTAAGAAAATTCTGTTTTCCTTGGAGTTTTTGCTTGCTTCTGTTGATGGGATACTTAAACTCTGTAAAACATTTAAAACAATTAATTCTTAGCTATATATGAGTGACCATGGCCCATGACACAGCCCTCAGGAGATCGAAGAAACATGCACCAAATGAAGTCAAATACATTTAGCAAATATATTGGTTCAGTTTAGAAATGTGGATATCTCAAAATGGGAGGAGGGGTGCTTCCAGGTTATAGGTAGTTTTAAAGATTTTATGGCTGACAATTGTTTGAATTTGTCAAAACATCTGGGATCAACAAAAATAAATTCTGGGTTATTATAAGTGGTTGTGGAGACCACAGTTTTATCACGCAGATAAGGTCTCTGGGTAGCAGGCTTCAGAAAGGATAAATTGGAAATGCTTCTTATTAAACTTAAGTTCTGTGTTAATGTTAACACTGGATAGCTATAATGAGACATTTCTGACCCCGAATTTTTGTCATGGCCTAAACTGGTAGCTCAGGTTAAATTTTAAGAATGTCCTAGCCAAGGATAAAGTCCATTCAGATAACTGGGGGAGGGGGCTTAAAATTTTGTGTTTTGCTTTCACTTTCATCAAAAAAAGGTGAGCTTGTGTGCTTCTTCATCAGCAGAGAGTGTTCCTTAGCTTGGGCCTCATCATTAGGTAAGAGGCTGAGCTGGGATTCTGTCTTACAGATTGTCTTTAATGACTAAAGTTAGCATTAACAACCAGTTGGTTTAAATTTATTCTTACACTTAGAGCACTCAGAAATTGTATAATTTGTGTTATTATTGTTTGTTTGGCTTAGCTGTTTATTTGTTTCTGTCTTTTTTGTTGTTGTTACGTTTTGGTCCTTCTTTTATCAGATTTGAACAATTCTAAACCCTCTAGCTTATGAGTGTGTAAATTTTTACTCCAAAAAAAAGAGCCCTTTGCTCCCATCAGCCCTTTGGGGCATTCTCAGGCAACAGAGAATCATGTACAGGTGTCTAAGAGGAATGCTCCCTAAGATGTGCAGTGCCTCTACGTAAGTTTCCCCATACTTGGGGTCTAATCTCAGCTGGTGGGTGCATATAAGTAGCTGATTCCTCCCACACCTTGATTCCTTGATGAGACAGGATATTTCTCTGACCTTCATGGGCAGAAACTGGAGTAAATGAGTACTGGAGAAAGCTGGATAGTTTGGCATTGACTCGGGTAAACTTTATTTACTTGGACCTGCTGCATTGGGAGTATGAAGGTGAGCAAATGCAGGAGCTGGAGTAACTGCTTTTTAGTGCCAGGAGGAGCAAACTCCATACCAGCCCGATAGCAATGACTGGGGGTGGTGCCAATGACCCCTGAATTTCCAGAGAATTTGTTACAGTACTCTTTTTCTCTGCCATCCATGGATGGCTTAATTGTTAGAAGCTTAGTGGACCCTCTGCCTTTTGATGTGAGTTGGTTGCCTTCTGTCAATAAGGGCAAAGAGTCAGTGTGACAGCCTTTTTGCATCCACACTCCTGGTACCCGAGGTCTAGTCTGATTTTCAGGAGAACTAAGGTCACACAAACTAATTGGAGGATAATAAATGTGGGGGATTTATTACTGATTGAAGTGGCTCTCAATGAAAAAAGGAGCTGAAAAGGGGACAGGGTAACTTCCCCTGAAGTCTAGCCATCTCTAGCCAAATTCTTCTCCAAAGTTATGTCATCAAGCTCTTCCTCTGAAGTCAAGCTACTTCTCTCTGATGTTCAGCCATAGTCTCTGATGTCCAGCTGCTTCCCTTTTCTTTGCTGGCTGACCCTGAGGTTTTTATGGGCACAAAATGGGGAGTGAGTGGGCCATGGGTGGTTTTGGAAAAGGCAACATTCAAGCAGAAAAATAGGGATATAAAGTTCTCATATTAGGCCCTGATTTTAGGCTATTCAGCTTAAAGGTTGTGCCCTTGATGGGGACCTGTTCTTCTCTCCCTAGAATTTCTCTGCCTCATGTTTATACCACTAACATACTGTGCCATGTACTTGTAATATGGATTGGCAAAACAAGTTCAGAGAGTAATTGCTGTAAAAGGCTAGATCTGCAAGCAGCACACTTGGTATCCAACACACTCCCTGACTTGGTCAAATCTGAAGGAGTACTCTAAATTATGGGGAACTAGGTATCTAAATTGGCTAAAACCCCTGCATCTGGGGAACATAAGGTTCCACTCTAGAAACTCTGGCAGTATATATGCAAAATACTTCTGGTGTATTTTTATGTAAATATTTAATTAAGTAGATGATTATAACCAAAGCAGATTCTAAGTTATGATGGCCTACATGGGTATTTTTTGAGATGCCCAGATAAGTGTACCTGAGAACTAGAATGGAAGATGCAGACACAAAAGCTAAACAAACAGAATGTGAGAGCTACTCTCAATGGTACCTAGAGAGTAGCAAAACAAGAGAGAGAAAGAGCACCTCATTTTGAAGGAGGCCAACAAACAACTTAGAAATGCTAATTAATAACTCTCAAATGTTTTATCTCTAAAAGAAATCTTCAGAATTCATTTTTTGACATTTATTTATTTATTTTTGAGTTCCAGGATACCTGTGCAGGTTGTGCACATTGTCACATAGGTAAATTTGTACCGTGGTGGTGATGCACCTACCAACCCATTACCTAGATATTAAGCCCAGCATGCATTAGTTACTTGTCATAATATTCTCTTCCCCTACTCTTCCACCAGGCCCCAGTGTGTGTCATTTCCTTCCCTGTGTCCATGTGTTCTTATTGTTCAGCCCTCATTTATAAGTAAGAACATGCAGTGTTTGGTTTTTCTGTTCTTGTATTATTTTGCTGACAATAATGGCTTCCAGCTCCATGCATTCTGCAAAGGAAATGATCTCGTTCCTTTTTATGGCTGCATGCTATTCCACGACATTCCACAGTATTCCATAGTGTCTATATGAATGGGAGTTAATTCATGATTTGGCTTTCTACTTGTTGGTGTATAAAAAATACTTGTAATTTTTGCACACTGATTTTGTATTCTGAGACTTTGCTGAAGTTCCTTATTAGCTTAAGAAGCTTTTTGGCTGAGTTGATGGAATTTCCTAGATACAGGATTATATCATCTGCATCTGCATATGTACCACTTTTTTTTACCAGTCTATTGATGAACATTTGTGTTGCTTCCATGTCTTTACTATTATGAATAGTGTTACAATGAACATACAGGTACATGTGTTTTCATAATAGAATAATTTATATTCCTTTGGGATGTACCCAGTAATAGAATTGCTGGGTTAAATGGTATTTCTGGTTCCCGCAGCCTCACCAGCATCTGTTGTTTTTTGAGTTTTTAACAATGGCCATTATGATTGGCATGGGATATCTCACTGTGGTTTTGATTTACATTTCTCTAATAATCAGCAAGGTTGACCTTTTTATATTATGTTTCTCAAATGAATAAATATGTTGTTTTGAGAAGGGTCTGTTCATGACCTTTGCCCACTGTTTGATGGGGTTGTGTTTTTTGTAAATTTGTTTAGATTTCTGGTAGACTCTGGATATTAGACCTTTGCCAGATGGGTAGATTGCAAATTTTTTTCTCATTCTGTAGGTTGCTGCTCACTCTGATGATAGTTTCTTTTCCTGTACAGAAGCTCTTTAGTTTAATTAGATCCCATTTTAAAATTTTTGCATTTGTTGCAATTGCTTTTGACATTTTTGTTATAATATATGTGACTGTACCTGTGTCCTCAATGGCATTGCCTAGATTTCCTTCTAGGGTTTTTATAGTTTTGATTTTTAAATTTAAGATTTTGATTCATCTTGAGTTAATTTTTTATAAGGTATTAGGTTAACTTTTGTATAAGTAGTCTAATTTCAATTTTCTGCATGTGGCTAGCCAATTTTTTTCAGCTAAATTTACTAAATAAAAAATTATTTTCTCATTGCTTGTTTCTGTCAGGTTTGTTAAAGATTAGGTGATTGCAGATGCATGGTATTATTTCTGAGATCTGTATTCTGTTCCATTTGTCTGGGTTTCTGGTTTTGTACCAGTACCATGCTGTTTTGGGTTACTTTAACCTAGTAGTATAATTTGAAGTTGAATAGCATGATGCCTCCAGTCTTTTTGTTTGTGCTTAAGGTTGTCTTAGTTATACAGGCTCCCTTTTGGTTCCATGTAAATTTTAAATGAGTTTCTACCTTTCTGTGAAGGCAGTTTAATGGGATTAGCATTGAATCTATAAACTACTTGGGACAGTATGTCCATTTTCATAATATTGATTTTTCCTTTCCATGAGCATGAAATGTTTGGTTTGTGTCCTTTCTGATTTCCTTGAGTGGTGGGTTGTAGTTCTCCTTGAAGAGGCTTTTCACTTCCCTTGTTAGCTGTATTTGTAAATATTTTATTCTCTCTGTGGCAATTGTGAATGGGAGTCAGTTCATGATTTTGCTCTCTACTTGTCTATTGTTGGTGTGTAGACATACTTGTAATTTTTGCACATTGATTTTGTATCCTGAGACTTTGCTGAAGCCATTTATTAGTTTAAGAAGATTTTGAACTGAGTCGATGGGATTTTTCTAGATATAGGATTATGTCATCTGCAAACATAGACAATTTTACTTTCTTTCTATTTGAGTACCATTTATTTCCTTCTCTTGCCTGATTGTCCTGGCCAGAAATTCCACTACTGTTTGAAATAGGAGTGGTGAAAGAGGAGATCCTTGTCTTGTGCCAGTTTACAAGGACAATGCTTACAGCTTATGAACATTCAGTATGGTACTGGCTGTTTGTCAGAAATAGCTCTTGCTATTTTAAAATATGTTCCATCAATTTTTAATTTATTGAAAGTTTTTAACATGAAGGGATGTTGACTCTTTTATTCAATGCTTTTTCTGCATCTACTGAGAAAATAATGTGGTTTTTGTCTCAGTTCTGTTTATGTAATGAGTTACATATATTAATTTGTATATGTTGAAGCAGCTTGTATCCCGCAGAAGCAGCCAACTTGATTGTGGTGGATAAGGCTTTTTTTATGTGCTTCTAGATTGGTTTGCCAGCATTTTATTGAGGATTTTTGCATTAACGCCCATTATGGATATTGGCCTGAAGGGTCCTTCATTTGTTATATCTCTGACAGGTTTAGATATCATGATAATGCTGGCCTCATAAAATGAGTTAGGAAAGAGTCTTTCCTTTTCAATTCTTTGTAATAACTTTAGAGAAAATTGTGAGTTCCTCTTTGTACCTCTGGTAGAATTTGGCTATATATTTGTCTGGTCTTAGTCTTCTTTTTTTTCTGTTGTTGTTGTTGGTGGTAGGCTACTCATTACTGCCTCCTCTTCAGACCTTGTTATTAGTCTATTCAGGGATTCAAATTCTTTCTGGTTCATTCTTGGGAGGGTGTATATGTCCAGGAATGTATCCATTTCTTCTAGATTTTCTAATTTATTTGCATAGTTATAGTATTTTTAAATTGTTGTTTGTATTTCCGTGAGGTCAGTGGGGATATCATTTTTATTCTTTATTATTTTGTTGTTTTGAAAATTCTCAGAATTTCTTACTTACTATTTGGTGCCTTCCACACCTCCACCTCCACTCTCACTTCATTCTGATCTTTCTGAATTTCTCTGATCAAGTTTATTTCCTCTTTCTGCCACATGTTTCAATTTACCATCTTTTCCTCTTTGCTTGCCACTCACTCGACAGAAGTCAAAAGAGATCCTAACTTCCAACACCCTACCTCCTGATGATTCACTGATATCCCTGGAAGCAACTTCTCATCTGGAAGATAAGGAAAAGGGGAACCCTGAAAGAACATCTTATATGATTACTATTTTTCAGGAACAACTGGTGCAGGTAAGAAAACTTCATTGATTGTCTGTCAACCCTGGTCAAAGGCTGAGTTGTGGAGAATAGTTCAACAATTTTCTGATCTCCATAAGTACCCAATTGGATTGCTTAAGAATGTGAGCTGATTACCAGAACCTATGACCTAGATCATTCAGACCTTTAGCGGTTGTTCTGCATTTTGGTCTCAGAATTATCACTAAGAAATAGCTAGAAAAAGCACAGCAGCCAGACTCTATAGCTCACCTAATCCCTGAATGCCCAATAGTGCCACAATAACCAGCTCCCAAATATCCAGAATACAAACACAAAGGTACGTGAAAATGAATGACTGCTAAGTTGAATATCATTCTATTAGTATTCTAAAGAGTTGTATGTTAAAATAAATTCCTGTAATGTTGCTAGAACCCAAGTGAATTAGCTTTAGATTATTGTACACATTTTAATAAAACTTTGATACAGCTATTAAATGTCAGATGATTGGTTCAAAAATAAAAATGATACATTATTAAACACAAGTTTATATATTTTATTGCATTTTAGGTTTTGGGGCACATGTGAAGAACACACAAGATTGTTGCATAGGTACATGTGGTTTCCTCTTTCTGCTACATGTTTCAATTTATGAAATGACAAGGTGGTTTGCTGCCTTCCTTCCTATCACCTATATCTGGCATTTTTCCCCATGTTATCCCTCCCCAACACTCCACCCCTGCTGTTTCTCCCCGAGTTCCCCCCCACAGACCCCAGTGTGTAATGCTCCCCTTCCTGTGTCCATGTGTTCTCATTGTTAAACACCCACCTATGAGTGAGAAAATGCAGTGTTTGATTTTCTGTTCTTATAAACAAAAGTTTTTAAAACAGACTAGATGACAATTTAGCTGTCTTTGTAAAATGCCGTATGACCAACTGGGCCACAGCCAGAACTAAAGAACTTGTTAGCTGACCAATTATCTTGCACTATTATATAAAAGGGATAGCAAAACTGCTCAAATCATGCATTTACAGTTAAAGCAATTAACTTCTCAAACCTCTCAGCTTCAGAAAAATGTTAAGCCCTCTTAGTCTGAGGACTCTTCCTTTCCACTCTGTTACTATTGTACCTCAGAAAGGACTGCCTGAGACTGAAATGGAAGCAATAGCAAGAAGGTGCAACTCACAAAGACTAGGGTGCTCTGAGAAAGTTAAAAGGTTTCACTTCTGCAAATATTCTACACTGACAAATTTAGAGAGATTAATATAATAATAAACCATTTGAATTCTGCCAATATGGCTGAATAGAAACAGCCCTGGAGTGCAGTTCCCATAGAGAAAGACACAGAAGATGAGGAATCTCTGCATTTCCCACCAAGGTACCATGTTCATTCCAATGGGACTGGTTGGAGAGAGAGCATAATGCAAAGAGGGCAAGCCAAGACAGGACGGGGCACTGCCCCACTCAGCAAGTGCATCTGACAGGAGGATCAGGAGCTTTCTCCTTCTGCCAATCCAGTTCAGATAATGCACTTCACCCATGGCCTCTGCAAACCACAGACCAGAAGATCTTCGCAGGGTTTAAAAAGTGCCATGAGTTTCTCACACAGAGCTGAGCAGCAGCCTTGACCAGTGCAGTGGGTTTTCCGCACAGATCTAGGCAGATGTATTGGCTAACACTGAGATAGCCTGTGGGAAGGAGCTACTCCCCCTGCCAGAAAGAAGGGGAGCTGAAAGCAGGGAGACAGGCAATATAGCTAGGAGGGTAACTCCCCAACAAAACCGGGGAAACTGAAGCCCTTTCTCTTGAGAATTTCACAGCCAACACATCAACTTGAGCTTGACCCAGAAAAATCAAGCTTGGCAGGGAAAAGAGTATCCACCGTTGCAGAGATGGGTCTAATCTTCCAATATAAACAAAAAAACAAAGGAAACATACACAGCAGCTTGACTAAGTTTGTGGCAGCCCAGCAGCACCTCTGCAGGTAGGCAAGAGATAGACTCCCTCCTCAAGTGGCTCCCTGAGATCAAAGCTAGATAAATCCACAAAGATAGGAAGAAACCAGTGCAACTAAGATGAAATCATCAAAGGCCAGAATGCCTCTCCTTCTCCAGGAGTTGTGTGAGAACACAACTCCTCACCATCAAGGGAATAAAACTGGTTGGAGAAGGAGTTTGATGAATTGACAGAAGTAGGCTTCAGAAGGTGGTAATAACAAACTTCTCTGAGCTAAAAAAATATGTTCTAACCCAATGCAAAGAAACTAAGAACCTTGAAAAAGGTCAGATGAAATGCTAACTAGAATAACCAGCTTAGAGAAGAACATAAACTACTTGATGGAGCTGAAAAACACAGCATGAGAACTTCACAAAGCAAACACAAGTGTCAGTAGCTGAATTGATCAAGCACAGGAAAAGATATTAGAGACTGAAGACTAACTCAATGAATAAAATGAGAAGGCAAGACTAGATAAAAAAGAGTAAAAAGAAAATGAATCCCATATTTCCTCCAGGAAAATGGGATTATGTGGAAAGACCTAATCTATGCTTGATGGGTGTACCTGAGTGTAATGGGGAGAATTAACCCAAGCTGGAAAATACTCTTCAGGATAGTATTCAGAATTTCCCCAACCTGCCAAGGCAGGCCAACATTTAAATCCAGAAAACACAAAGAACTTCACAAAGATATTCCTCAAGAAGGACAACCCCAAGGTACATAATTGTCAGATTCACCAGGGTTGAAATGAAGATAAACACACTAAGGGAAGACAGAGAGAGTTTGGGTCACCCACAAACGCAAGCCCATCAAACTCAGAGCAGATATCTCGGCAGAAACCCTGCAAGTCAGTAGAGAGTGGGGACCAATATTCAACATTTTTAAAGAAAACAACTTTCAACCCAGAATCTCATATTCAGCCAAACTAAGCTTCATAAGTGAAGGATAAATAAAATCCTTTATGAAAAAACAATTATTGAGAGAGTTTTGTCACCACCAGAACTACCTTACAAGAGCCTCTGAAGAAAGCACTAACCATGGAAAGGAACAATTAGTACCAGTCACTGCTAAAAAATAACAAATGGTAAAGACCGATGACACAATGAAGAAACAGTGTCAACTAATGGACAAAATAAACAGCCAGTAAGAAAAAGACAGGATCAAATACACACATAACAATATTAACATTAAATGTAAATGGCCTAAATGTCCCAATCAAGAGACACAGACTGGCAAATCTGACTAAAAAGTAAAGATCCTACTGTGTGTTCTATTCAGGAGACCCATCTCACATGCAAAGACACACATAGATTCAAAATAGAAGAATGGAAGACTTGTCAACAAAATGGAGAGCAAAAACAAGCAGGGGTTGCAATCCTAGTCTCTGATAAAACAGACTTCAAACTAAGACCAAAAGAGTAAAAGCAAGTTTTTAACATCATAGAAAAGGACTTAGACTCCCATACAATGATAGAGGAAGACTTTAACACTCCTCTGTTGATATTAGACAGATGAACGAGACAAAAAATCAACAAGGATATCCAGGACTTAAACTCAGATCTGGACCAAGTGGACCTAATAGACATCTACAGAGCTCTCCACCCCAAATCCACAGAATATACATTCTTCTTTTTTATTTTTTATATTTTTTTATTGCATTTTAGGTTTTGGGGTACATGTGAAGAACATGCAAGATAGTTACATAGGTACATGTGTGGCAGTGTAATTTGCTGCCTTCCTCCCCTTCACCTATATCTGGCATTTCTCCCCATGCTATCTCTCCCCAACCCCCACACCCCCACTGTCCCTCCCCTATTCCCCCCAACAGACCCCAGTGTGCACTGCTCCCCTCCCTGTGTCCATGTGTTCTGATTGTTCAACACCCGCCTATGAGTGAGAACATGTGGTATTTCATTTTCTGTTCTTGTGTCAGTTTGCTGAGAATGATGTTCTCCAGGTTCACCCATGTCCCTACAAAGGACACGAACTCATCGTTTTTGATTGCTGCATAAAATTCCATGGTGTATATGTGCCACATTTTCCTTGTCCAGGCTATCATTGATGGGTATTTGGGTTGATTTCATGTCTTTGCTATTGTAAACAGTGCTGCAATGAACATTCGTGTACATGTGTCCTTATAGTAGAAAGATTTATAATCCTTTGGATATATACCCAGTAATGGGATTGCTGAGTCAAATGGAATTTCTATTTCTACGTCCTTGAGGAAACACCACACTGTCTTCCACAATGGTTAACTAATTTACACTCCCACCAGCAGTGTAAAAGTGTACCTATTTCTCCACATCCTCTCCAGCATCTGTTGTCTCCAGATTTTTTAATGATCGCCATTCTAATTGATGTGAGATGGTATCTCAATGTAGTTTTGATTTGCATTTCTCTAATGGCCAGTGATGATGAGCATTTTTGCATATGTTTGTTGGCCTCATGTATGTCTTCTTTTGTAAAGTCTCTGTTCATATCCTTTGCCCATTGTGAATGGGCTTGTTTGTTTTGTTCTTGTAAATCTGTTTTAGTTCTTTGTAAATTCTGGATATCAGCCCTTTGTCAGATGGGTAATCTTCAAAAATCTTTCCCATCCTGTTGGTTGCCAATTCACTCTAATGATGGTTTCTTTTGCGTGCAGCAGCTGTGGAGTTTGATTAGGTCCCATTTGTCTATTTTGGCATTTGATGCCAATGCTTTTGGTGTTTTGGTCATGAAGTCCTTGCCTACTCCTATGTCCTGAATGGTTTGCCTAGATTTCTTCTAGGGTTTTTATGGTGTTAGGTCTTATGTTTAAGTCTTTAATCCATCTGGAGTTAATTTTAGTATAAGGTGTCAGGAAGGGGCCCAGTTTCTGCTTTCTGCACATAGCTACCAGTTTTCCCAACACCGTTTATTAAACAGGGAATCCTTTCCCCATTGCTTGTTTTTGTCAAGTTTATCAAAGATTGTATGGTTGTAGATATGTTGTGTTGCCTCTGATGCCTCTGTTCTGTTCCATTGGTCTATATCTCTGTTTTGGTACCAGTACCA